CAAAAATTCGATATTGTCAATCTGTTCATATTTTAATCTATCAATTACATTTTTAATACCATCTGAAAATCTTATGAAATGGTCATTATATGGGTTTGATTGAACTAAATTTGAATGAAGTGAAATATAACCTGATGATGAATATGACATCGACTCATATTTTCTGAAAACACTAAAATTTATAACATGAATGAATTTCTTATTCGTTGAATTTATGAATTCTTGAGGTAATCTTATTCTAGTTTTATTTATCACTGGAAAATAACGCTTTACCATATTTTTAATCGTAATAAAAAAATGTCAATTATCAATATTATTTCGAATAATAACTGTGAATTAAATTTAACAGTTAGCGGAATTTATAATGTTACTCTCGTTTCTGTGAGTGGTAAATTTAATCCCATTCTTTTAGACCCTTCAGATTATATATCATTTATTAAAGATGACCATGAGCCGCATAGCGGCGGGGTCGTAGACCTAAAAACGTATGATATGTATATAAATAATGTGATAACGAAATGGGATATTAACATGATTTTAAGTTATTTAAATGAATCATTTATCGTATGGTATGAAGAAAATTTTAAATCAAAACCTGATAAACTTTTTGAACTTGATGAAATAAATAACCTTATTAAATTTCCGCTGAAAATTAAATTTTGTACTCCTCGTCTTCGTTCATTGTTGGGGATATTAAATTTTGAAAAAGATGTTGGGGATGTTTTGTATTCTGACACTGGTTCTAATTTCATTTTAATCAAATGTGATAAAGTTAATACCCCAATGAGATTTTCACATCAAACATTAGACCCTAACTCTTACCCATCAATACAAAACATTTTATCCATCAACTTAAACATATTTCTTTATCATATCCGTTTCAATTATCCGGGAATTCATTTATTCTTCATTCAAAAGATTTATCAAATATTAAATTTAGAATAACTGACCTATTTGATTGTGATTTAGAATTTATGAATGAAATATTATGGCAATTTCAAATAGAAAAAATAGCTGATGAGATAACAGATTAAATATTTATTTTTAAATCGTAATAAATGATTAAACAACAGCAACCACAGACCATTACATACGCCATATATGCATATAATTCAAAGACGGCAGAACAAACGCAAATGTTGAAATATGGAGATTTGGAGATAGTATTGAAAAATGACCATTTCGAATTCGTTTGCAAAGGTGGTGCAGTGATATCAAATATAAAAGAAATTTTATTTATGAATTCAAAAATTAAAGGAATAACGGATGATATAACATCAATTCCACCAGAAGAACAAAGATATTACGCATTAAATGCATTTCCTAAAGTTTTGAAGATTGGAAGATTTAATTTAAATGAGGAATTCATAAAAGGTTTCCTAAATGACATAATGAAGAAAGCAGATAAGGAATATGTTAACGATGAGTTAGCAAAGAAAGCAGATATATCATTTGTTAACGATGAGTTAGCAAAGAAAGCAGATAAAACTTATGTTAACGATGAGTTAGCAAAGAAAGCAGATATATCATTTGTTAACGATGAGTTAGCAAAGAAAGCAGATAAAATATTGTTAACGATGAGTTAGCAAAGAAAGCAAATATATCATTTGTTAACGATGAGTTAGCAAAGAAAGCAGATATATCATTTGTTAACGAAATATACCAAAGTTTGATAGGAACAAAAAATATTGAAACTATTGTTGGTGACTTTTCTGTCAATGAAGAAAACAAATATTTTAGATGGGAGTTTGTACAGTCCTTAAGAAATGGTATACGGTATAAACTCATTCCGAAAAATAACAATGAAATGTATGTAGGCTATATAAAGAATAATGGCACACAAGTTAAAGTTCCATTAGACAACAACTGCTACTTAAACTTATATGGAGACGAACAAAAGAAATATTTAAGAGTTTATGAAATGACGGATATGACATTGTCTAACGTAGCTCCAGCACCGTTATTATTATGAATGGTGTTGACGCACATGTAGACCCAAAAAAGCAAACATTATATTTAGAATATTATAGATATAAAGATTAATGCAATAGAAAAAACGAGAATAGTATACTATTATGAAGATGACAAAAATAAATATTATAGTCAAGATTTTACATACCCTGAAAACATAAGATTATATTATAAAAAATATTCGACACAAACCAGAAGAAACCCGAAATAGTTACACTATATTTTAAGTTCAAAAGAGACAATCCTATAATATCTCATATGTTTGATTTAATGAACCCAGTAGGTTCTATTTATACATCTATGGATGCAAGAGGTCCTCAAGTAATGTTTGGTGTTGGTGCATGGGAACAAATAGTTGACAGGTTTTTGTATTGTGCAAACTCTTCAAAGGAAACAGGGGGAAGTAAAACAATTACGGGTGAAAATTTACCTGCACACAGTCACTACATAGATTTAAGCACATCTCAAGCAGGTTGGCATAAGCATAGATATTGGGATTGGTCAGGAATGACAAAAGGTAAAGGATATGATGTTAAAGATGATGTTAAATTTGCCATAAATTGTTACTGGAGTGACACTCAGGGAGAAGGAAACCATACACATCGCGTTTCAGGATATACACAAACAACGGGACAAAGTAAAGATTACATGCCACCATTTATGACTGTATTCGCATGGTATAGAGTTCAATGAACGCTCAATGTTTGTGAAACAAACTTTAGGAGCTCCAAAAGAGCAAACGACATAATTTAAATTTTTATTTTAGTATAAATGAAGATTCTACCATATGGTGTTATTGGAAGAGATAAAGATGGAAACCCAATATTTGATCCAAAGTTAAAATTAAAGTTACTGACAAGACAACAACTTGAAAAGTTGCTGAAACCAAAACAGGATGAAAAATGAGAAAATGAGAAAATGAGAAAGAAAAAAATTTAAATTATGCAATTTTATTTTTATCATAAATGACAAAATTAATTAAGCCAACTATTTCTAAATTAATGATACCAATGAAATCATTTCATGGAGTACTTATCCCAGGTTCTTCACAATTAGCCGGGGCAAGTGTTGTGACTCAAGGTGGAACATTAGCGAATCCATTCAAATTATTAACTAAAGATGAACTTAATAAAATGATGATAAAATAACTGATAACAAAATTTTATTTCACTACTACCATAAAAACAGGTGAAAAAACAGGTGAGATCTCACCTAGCCGCTTTGCGGCTCTGACCCTTTGGGTCTCTTCACCTAAATTATATTTTTGGTCAAAGCTTCCACGAGAGAAAAGATTCCTCATTCGCTAAGGATTCCAAAAATGAAAAAATCATTGATTTCGGCTGAGAAAAAACAGCAAAACCCTTCTTCCACGGGAACAAAGAAATAAAGAAGAAATAAAGAAGAAATAAAGTAAATTTTTTATTTATTCCCGTGGAAGATAGAGCACTTTTATGATACTTTTTATTCACGACAAACAAGACAAATAAAGAAAATGAGAAAATACGGCGCTGTCGCGGTTCGAACCACAGACCTTGACCCCTCCATAACACCACCTTAGACCACTGTGCTACGTAGCCTGTCGACATAAGATTTTATAAATTGCATATTTGACGTAAATTTATTTCCCAGTTATTCAAAAATAATTAATTATTGAATGACCTGAAAACATTAACGTAAACATTAACGTAAACATTTATTTCCCCGACTGTTGTCAAAATGTCGTGTTGTCACACTTTTTCAGAGAAGTTAAATGACCTGGTAGCACATGGTAGCATGGTAGCACCTTCGGTTCTTCAAAAATAATTAATTATTGAATAACCTAAAAACCATGAGACTTTGTCTCCGGACTCTTTGAGTCACTTAACGATAAAATAAGTGATAACAAATTTTTATTTTTATCATAAATGAATACCCCACAAGCTCAAAATTTACCACGAATCATAACAAGGGAGGAAATGATAAAAATGATGCAAGAACATGTTAAAAATAACAAACCACTAAAATTGAGAAAATGTGGTTATGCGTAATGATGGAAAGAGAGATGTTGTCGAAGAGGAATAAAAATTAAATTTGGATAGAGTTTAAAAATTCATCTTTATTAAATTCATCTCTTCCAATCAATTTATTTATTCTATTAAATTCTTTTATTTTTGCTTCACTCAGTTTAAGGATTGAACGATAAGTTTCTAATTTTTCGATTATTTCTTTCCTCTCTTTATCGTTTTCAACCCCACCATTGTGGCTTCTTTTTGTAATAGCATATTTTTGATTTAATTCTGTTTAGTTTCTTTTTATATTCATCGTCTGGACTCTTGACTGCTTCGTTGTTACTCATTTCTTACGAAATAAAAAAATTAAATATTATTTAAATATAATGGAGTAATAAAATAAATCGGAATTTCTATTAATTTATTGTCAACTTCAACTAATGCATTGCCGTTAATATATCTAACAAATTCAGCTATTGTGTCAAATCTTCGTCTTCTTTTTGTCATTGATTTATCAGTTTTTCCATAATCGAGATGAATCAAAACTTTATCCCTTGTTTAAAATTCATGAGCCCCGAATTAATTTGTTCACGTTTAACATCATTCAACCTTTCCATTTGCTTTCTAATATATTCCCATTCTTTTGAAATATCATTTTTTCATTTCCACCGGTTTCATGTTTATTGTTCTATGCCATGTATTATTGTAATAATATACTAACTGCTGTATGATGGAGTCATGATTTCCATCCCAGTATATCTGACCATTAACCCCTAACGCATCTCTAAGAGTTCTCATTACCGCATCAACTATTTTATTATGAAACGTATATGGAGAGGATGAAAAGTAAAAATTAATTTGTGGGAAATAATGAGCCATAGCTGCCTGAAATCCTTTATCACCATCACCCCTTATATTATCTACTCTTTCATGATCTAGTAAGTATTGAATAGCTCTTCTTGTTTCCTGTTCTGTTTTCCCTTTCACCGGAATGCAATATAAATATCTGGTGTTAATGTTAATGGCAAATAAATAAGTAACGTTTCCTCTTGAATATTCTAAATGATCGATTTCGTATGAATATGGATATGGTGCAAATGAAGGGCGACTAAATTTTTCCTTTAACGGTTGAATTTTTGGGTCAGTTGGTTTATTTAATATTTTGAAATCCTTTTTAAAATCTTTTTGCTTCTTTAATGTTTGAAATGGATATAATAAAGTGAATGATGAAGGATTAACTGAAGGAGGAGGAGGTACTGTCGTTGGAGGGTTTGGTGTTGCAGGTGGTTTAATTTTATCTGCTTTGATTTTGGATTTCATTCCCCCCTTCATTAATTCTGGATGTATTCTATTCATTTGTTTTAAATATGCTGTATATAAAGGTTTGATATACTTTCCCGCTTCGAGTTTATGTTGAAGGATGAATTCCAAAAGTTGATCTTCATTTAAAAGTCGGGCTGAATATGGTTTAACTAATGAATCATAAATTAAAGCTTGTGCTTCATTTATGGTCTGAAGGACCTGGGCGTTTTGCACCTTTTGTTTTTGTTCCTTTGGTTTTTGCGGCTCAGGATTATATAATTTATATAATTTATATAATTCATCAATATCTTCTTCTGTTAATACTTTATTTTTGAAATCTTTCAATTGTTTAAGTTGTGATTTACTTTTTCCCTTTGAATATTCATTATTTTTAATTTTGTCTTTAATTTTAGAAATTATTTTATCATGATATTTCAAAACTTCATTTTTATAATACGAATAATAATAATCCATATCATCACCCGTTATATTGTTATCATGTTTTTGGAGATATGATTTTAATTCATAATAATTAAGAAAATTTTGATTAAGTACTAAATCATCAATTAAATTTTTTAAATCTACGCTATTCATTTATATAAAAATAAAATAAGTGTTTTAAGGGTGCCCGCCTCTTTGAATCATAGTATCAAAACCATTATTTACGGTTCCTTTTGTCTCTTCTGTGGCATTTTATTAAATAAATGGCATACAACATCCATTTTCACAACATACAGCCTTAGTGTGTGCTCCTGTTAATGCAGTCTTACCGATTGTTAAGCGAGTCATTGACCCGTTTTTAAGTTGTAAATTAATATTCTGACCATCAAATATCACTTTATCATTTATTATATCCAAATAATTTTTAGGTGTTAATTGTTTATTTTGTCGTAAACTAACTCCTTTCATTTTTTGTGCAATCTTTTTAAAATCACTTCCATCAATTGAACCGTTGAATGAAGTATAACACTTAGGACATAAAGCAACCATGTTATCACCTTGTTTCTCAATTGCTAAACCCAATAACTTCTTCTCATGTGCTTTTTCTTCAGCTTTATTCTTTAATTTAGGTTTAAATTTCTCATTAAAACAGAAGAAATCAAAAGGTGCGAATTTGTAAATGTTTTTATCATAAAATTTTTTATCGGTTACAATTGCTTGAAATGCTTGAGTGTTAGGAAGATTTGGGTCGCCAGCGATTGCCCAATAAGATGAATCAGTATCACCTTCAATGAAATGAAAACGATTAACATCCATGCATTTATACATAAAATCATAAATGAAAACCAAATACCAGTATTTTGCGTTATCTAAAGTGAAGAATGCCTCTTGTAAACATGTATCACATCTATAAAATCTATCTTTAAGCATCACTTGATACGTATCCTCTCCTATTTCTCTTATGTTTTTAAACTTATTTGACATACATGCAACGCGTGCCTTCTGTGCATTCATTATTTTAGTCTTTGCGTAATTTTGTGTATTCATTGCATCGTAACCATATGATCCATTAAGTGAAATCTTGCAAAATAAACTTTTTCCTTTATTTCCTTCTAATTCAGCCTTTTGTCTTTCGTTCATAAATTCATTCGCAAATTCATTAAAACAAGTATTTTTCGTAAATGTTAAAATTGATTGAATGTCATCAATGATAAAATGAAATCTGTCTATTAGATACCAAAGATAATAAGAAGAAAATGGTTGATATTGGTTGTGTGTTGATGCTAACTGAGTTAATTTCCTCTGTTTCTGGTCAACTGGTAGATTGTTTGATTTCATGTAATTATACATAAAACCACCAATTGTTTTTTCATCTGTGATAATATCAAAGTTTCTTATTATTGGTAAAAAGTTTATGTAATCATTAATGTATTTTTCATCAATGTGACCCTTTACTTCAGCCACGAATAAAGTATTTTTCTTCTTAATTATTCCCAGTGCTTTTGCTTTCTTTGTTGCTGTATCACAAATGATAACACCATTCAATCTTCCCGGCATATACATTTTATGGTCAGTATATTGAATGAAATCATGAGGATTAGATGAAAATGATGAAGGATATAATGAATTAAAGTCAACACCAACGAAATGAGTCATAATGTTGGAAGTGTCCTCATTTGATACAGTTTTAGTTTCTGGATTATATGAAAGTTTATTAATGTGCGTGATTCCTTTAAGATTTACTCTATGTTGAACATTTGATAAACCACCAGTAATTCCATTACGGAGGATGTGATAAGCTTCAACTGAATCTAGAGTCATTGGTAAATTATTTTTTAATGTATAATTTCTTAAATTGATTCTTAAACGTTGAACATCTTCATCTTTATTTGATTTTACGACATTGCAATAACAACACATTAACTGACAATTTTCTTTGGTATGTGGTTTTTCATTATCGATTCTATCTAATGTTGGTTTATTAGCATATGTAAACGCTTTACCACACATTTTGCATTTAGATGAAAGGATTAAATCGTGATAGTATTGATAGTCATCCATTGAAACATTGTTTTTAGTATCCCTTTCTGCTTTTTCATCTTGTTTCTTATATGAATCAATTTTATATTTCCAATACTTTTTTGTTAATTCAAAACTTGATTCCACATTTTCTTCTTCTGGATATGTTTCGTTAGGATTGAAGTTCTTATATGCTAACGCGTAACGAATCATTGATGCATTCGATGATAAAGAAAGATTATGAAGCATGTCAATTTTATAAACAAATGTTTCTTCAATAATTTTATCAATTGGGTCAATCATAATTTCAACGTCTTTATTGCAATAATGAATAAAATATTCTAATCTATTCTCAAAATTTTTAGCATCATTGAGATATATTTGATAATCTGAATCGGATATTGTTTCTTGAGTTAATGCTGAATAAAATGAATCTTGAGTGAATGGTTCCACTTTATATAATTCATCTTCGTAATTCTCCCATGTGATGAATTGATAAGGGAAAAAGGATTTAACACGTGATTTATTGTTTCCGAAATCTTGAGTGAATTGGTCTAATGTTCCACCCGCTATATAATTTCTGATGTCAATAAATCTTAATTCATATGGACAGTTTTTTTCTTTACAATGATTTGCTTAAATTGAGAAGAGGAACCCAGCAGTGATTTTATTTTCCATTTTGCAGTGTTTAAATCACGAAGAATTAAATTTAAATCAAACTTTCCCGAATTAAAACCTATGATATTCACTTTATTGAATTCCTCATCTAGAAGTTCTTTAAATGCTTCCTTCTGTTTTTCATTTAATGTATGGGACAAAGTCCCCGCCGTTTGGTCCGTTTGCGGCTTCATTAATTCTTCATATTGTTCAATATTTGATTTAGCAACTAATGAACAGGTTGAAAATAAAAATTCAATCCAATCAGAGATGAACGAATCACTTGATGTTAAGCAAAAATTCCTCGTAAATGTTTTATCACGGTCTACGACCTCGCGCTTCGGTCTGAAAGACCTTCAGGACTCAAAGAGTCCGTTTGGGCTTTATTTTGACAGTTTGATGATACCATAAATGGTTTTAAGTAAGCGTTCAAAGTTGCACATTCAGAAAGTTGAAGTTCTTCTTTAGTCTCTAATGTTTCGAAGTCAAAAGTAATATAATATCTTGTTGGTTTATAATATTCCTGCAAATTATGTGCTAATAGCCATTGATATATCTTCTGTTTCGTGATATGTGGTGCATATGGTTGTTGTGTGTTTTGCAATTGAACGTCTTGAATTAATCTTCCATTATTTTCTTTACATTTCTCAAATGCTTTAAAAATCTTCTTTGGTTTTCCTTTCTGGGTCATCACGGATAGAATATACTTCTTTTTGCAAAAGGGGCAAACTTTATATCCTGTGAGTGCTTCAACGTCTGTAATTCTGTCAGCGTGAAGTTTTCCACATGGACTCTGTGTTAATAAAATATTTACTGTTTCAAATTCTGGATCTATCATTATTGATTCCACTAATGGAAAGTCTACCTTATTTATGTCTACGTCTTCTGGTTGAGGGTCACAATATAAAAAATCAATATTAACGTTTAACATTCTTGCTAACCTCTCACTTTCTGATGAAATGTCAAATCCTTCATATGCATCTATGGCTTCATTTAAATAACTTCTACGAGTTTTAGGATTAACACCATCAGGAATGTTATAGAAGCGTTTAAATAACCTTCTACCTTCGTCTTATTTGATTATCATTCATTTTAGCTGTTCCGTTTTTGTTCATTTATGTAAGAATAAAAATTAAAAAATAAATAAAAATAAAGTTTATTTTTTTTAAAGTCCAGGGCTAAAGTCCATAAAATGAATTAAGAACACATAAATTTTTATCATCTGCGACGTGACGAATACATTTTAATTTACTCAAGAATGCGTACCCTGATACATTAAATCTAATTCCTGTCTTATTTAATTTCACAACTTTGAAAAGGAATGTATGAATAGCTATAAAATGATGAGATGATGTTTTAGGTGGTTGCTTCCATTTTTTCTGAAATAAATGAATAAATATAATGTTTATAAGTTTTCATATCTTTTATATTCTTAAATAACGAATGGTATAGACCTTTCAACTTCGTCTTCTTCGGTGCTGTTCTTTCATATGAAACATTATTAGTATCTTCAATAATGAAACCACAATCGCATAAAATTTTATATGTAACAATTGTTTCTTTTGATATTTTATCTAACAAATCAAAAACTTTATCAACACCTGCACATTTATTTAAATAATAATTTGTGTAAATATCATGGTCTTCTTTCTTAATCGTATTTGTTGCATATGTTACATTTTTCAGTGCTTTTTTGAATTTTTCAGAATCAAGAGGAGGTGAAAGTAATAATACATGGATAATCTCCATCGTCAATAAATTGTAACTTATGTTTATGAATAAATTTTGTGCCTTCTTCTGAAAGTGTTTCATCTATTTCACCATCTAATAAATTTTTAGTAGATTCCAAAAAGTAATTTTTATATCTTTCTTCATGAGATTTTTGAACTTCTGATTCTGAAGCTGGGATATTCATTAAACCCTCTACTTCATTCTCATTATATTTTCAACTTCTCTTAATTCCTTAATTTTTTCATCTATTTCATCTCTTATTTTTTCCAGTCTTTCAATTTCATCATATTCATCATCTTTAATCCGTTCTTCATAATATTCAGGGAAAACATCAGGTTCTTTAGGTTTTTCTTCTTCAGATGTGGGATATAAGAAATTTATAACATCATCTTTATTCATTTTTCCATCATAATCTAAATCATTTAATAACTCCGCGAATTTTTGACAATTTTCTTAAATAATATTTATTAACTTCATAACTCGCCTCCTCTAAATATCCTTTATTTCCTCGTTTGTGAATCCCAATTTTTTAACGTCGTTAGTCTTGACACTCATTTTCATACGAATTAAAAAAATAAATTATTCAAAAAATGTAAGACATGAATTTTTAAAGTTTATTTTTTTATTTTTTTTTTATTTTTTTTATTTCATTATGTATGGGTTTAGTGAAAATTTCTTACGATTCTGAAAATTTTTAAATCTTGATTTATTCAAAAACGTAAGAATAAAAACCGTAAAAATCATACATTTTTTACTTCATATGTAAAAAAAAATGATACAAAATCGCTCAAAAATGTATGAATTCTTACGTTTACAAAAAAAGTCACAAAACCCTTCAACATATACTACTATCATAAATTAATAAAACCAGTGAGAATCTAAACATGAAAGTTTGATACCAATGCATTTCTAATTCACACTATATTATTGATAAATTTAATTTTATATATAGAGGACAACACCCACACTTTTCCTCCCTTTAAATGAAATTGAAAGAACTTTGGAGGAATATATATCTTCGCACTACAGATCACCAAATTTTATTCAACATATCTTCGCACTACAAATCAAAATGAGACTTATAAAATTCTAGTATCCCATATACATCATCATTGTATTCCTCATATAGAATCTAATGAATATCATTTTGGTTGATGTTTTTTGAGCTTTTACGACTATTTTTTTTTGAAAATTTTGAACAATAAATTTTACGATAATAATTTTTTTTGAAATTTTTTTCAGTTCACAAATCATCATGACTGAGAGTGACTTTAATATTTCAGAACTTTTTGAATTAACGAAAGATTACACTGATACTTTTAAAGCATTCTACAGGCTTCATACTTTCGACGAAGATGAAATTGACAAAATTTACAAAGATATCAAAAACAAAATCATCGAAACAAAAATAATTTCTCCATCAACATTTGTCAAATCTATTTCATATGCAATACAATATAACAATCGTTATTTGATGTCATACTTTCGGATTTTCGAAAAATTATATGAAGATTATCAACCAAATAATGTTAATTTTGAATATTTATGTCATGGATTTGATAAGCTTATTTACGACAAATATAAAATTTCATATTTGAAAAAAACCGAATATGAAAATTGTTCCATAGAATTCCTCAACGAAAACACAATTTACAGATCAATAATGGAAGATGACATTAAATCATTTATAGGTTTCACAGAAAGGAGTGGATTTGATGAAAAACAAGTCATTGAAAATGATTTCTTTCCTTATAAATATCATAAGAATACATTGATTGAATTATGTTGTTATTATGGTTCTGTAAACTGCTTTAAGTTTTTGATCACTAAATTTAAACCAAAAATCACAAAAACATGCCTTAGATATTCATTTTTAGGAGGAAATCAAGAAATAGTAATGGAATGTCTTAAATATAAAACACCAGATGAGGATTGCCTGGAAAATGCAGTTGTTTCACACAACAATGACTTTGTCAGTTTTTTGCTCACATAATACGATATACAATTTTATAAAAATTATTGTCTCATATTCAATAATATTGATGCATGCTTGATATATTTTGATTTTAAAAGAATTTTCAAAGAATATTTGTATTGGATTTGCCAATTTAAAATACCATCTCTTTGCGAATATTTCATTTTGCATGGCGCAGATATTTATCGTGAAGGTTATAAATTCAATTCAGCAACTTATTATATAGTAGAGTATGGATGGAAAGAAATATTAGAACTTTTTATTTCACGTGGATTAGATATCAATAAAGCAAAATTTCTTTTTGTTGCTGCGGAATTTAATTGTAAAGAAATGGTTGAAATTCTCCTTGCAAACGGTGCGGATGTAAATTCGAATGATTATGAATTTAAAAAGACACCCATTCTTATTGCTGTAGAGAATAATTCTAACAAAGTGATTGATATTCTTTATTCACATGGTGCTGATATCAATGTATATGATGATGAAGGAAGAGGTGTTCTTTATTATGCAGCAAGAACTAATAATGTTGAGAAAGCAGAATTCTTCATATCACATGGCCTAGATCTAAATAAAGATCCTTCAAAAGTGACCAAAGCTCTTATTGTTGCAGTGAGAAACAATCGCAGAGAAATGGTGGAATTTCTTATTTCACACGGTGCAAATGTAAATCCTGCAGATGGAGAGAATGAAGGACCTCTTCATTATGCAATAGAGGATGACAACGCCAGCATCGCAGAACTTCTTATTTCCCATGGAGCTGATTTAAATGCAATTTTTTGTTGCAGCAGAACATATCTTCAATATGCAGTGTGCAAAAAAGCCTATGAAGTTACAAAACTTCTTATTTCACACGGTTCTGACATTCATAAAATCAATTATTATGGTCAAACCCTTCTTCACACTGCTGCAAGAAATGGTGACGAAAAAATGGCTGAATATCTTATTTCTCTTGGATTAGATGTCAATGCAAAAGATCAAGATGGACAAACTGCTCTTCATGCATCAGCATATAAAAATTCAGTGATGTGCCACAATTACTTATATCACATGGCATTGATATTGAAGCGAAGGATAATTCAGGCAAAACAGCACTATATATTGCAAAAGAACATATCTTAATTAATGGAAAAGCTTTAATCGAATTACTTGAATCCCATGGATCTCATGTTGATGACAGTGAAATAGAAGTAATTGAACCACCTATGATATTATATTCCCCTGGCGTCATGTTTGATTTTTAAATTACAAATTCAATAATTTAACAAATAAAAAATAATTCAAAATTAAATTTAATATTTGTTCATTATATAAGGATGCAGACTTGGCAATTCTTAAAAAATTTTCCGGCGAAATTGGCGTCCGAAGGGTGCCAATTTTGCCCGATAAGATGCATATATCATAGTTATAAGTATTTGGTTTTATGACTTATTTTTTTTCTCCTTTTTCTCCATGGCTCTATATTAGTCAAAATTTTTTCAAATTATGATACAATTTAGCCGGTTTTTATCAGAATTTTGATTTTGGAATTGATGCATATCGAAATATATAGCAAAATCCGAAAGAAGTTTGATTGGTATAGGGTTGCAAATTTGGAAAAAAGTGAGAAGTTTCCAATCTCAAAAAAACACAACTTCTAAAAGACGATTATAAAAAAATTATTTTTTTACTTTACATTTTGAAATCCAGAACTTTTTTGGAATTTTTTCGGTGTCTTTCATAACAGCCAATACATACGATAATATATACTGAGCCATTTAAACCATGATTTGAGCATCTTTAAGAATTAGCAATGCTAATGACCTAATCGTTGTCCGGAAATTTCCTTTGGAAGTTTCCAAAATTCTTGGCTTATTAAATTTAAGAGAGAATTGGAGAAAATTCAAGGGCTGGAAGTAACGTTCACTTTTTGGAAGTTATTAAAATATGTTTTAAAGTGCATTTAGAAACGATATTCTACAACATTTCATTATAAAAAATTGAATTCAAGAAGAAGTTTTTTGAAGCTGTAAAATAATTTTTAATAAAAATGCATAAAATAGTATATTGAACATATTTGGTATCAAAAAATTGAATAAAGGAAAAAGTTTTTGGAAGTTAATTTGAATTGTTTACATTTTTTTCTTGATCTGGAAGTAAATAAAAATTCACCATTTCATGTATGCTATAAAGAGGTCATTCACAATATTTCATGTATGCTATAAAGAGGTCATTCACAATATTTCATGTACACATTATAGTTGATTGAAAGAAAGATTCCCAAAATTTGGAATCTTATTTTGCTTCCTAAGAAGAGATTGAAAACAACAGTGGAGGAATTGCATCTTATATCTTTAATATTATGTTTTCACTCTTTAGATTACCAATTATATAAACATTTGTAAATGAAATTGTTTTGATTTCTTCCTTTTCTTTTGCATTATAAAGAATATTCAATACCTTTCGAAATATAGTAAATTTCATCAATATCAATTAAAGTTAGATATAGTGATTATAGAAATAATTTAATTATTTATCATACAAGCATATTTATCTTATGAACAAGCATTACATATCATATAAATCTTAACAACAAATGAATATTCATATAATCTTTTAACTTCCAGAAAAGGCGTCAAAAATTTTCTCACTGGGTTTTTGTCTATCAATCCCAGCTCATTATATACGCAACCAATCAAAACTCTGATATGGGAGTCCAAGGCTAACTTTTTGTTGTCTACCTAATAAAAGAGGAAGCAGCATTAGTGAGAATAATCGCAAATATTCAATTTAAATTATCTTTTTATTCTTAATTTAAAGTGACAAAAAGAATAAAAAACCTATTCTAAGACATGTTGTTATGTAAATGAGACTAGACATCATATTTTATGTTATGAAAAAAAAATATTTAGAATTTTAGAACAAAATAAATAGAAAAAATAGCATAACTTATGGATGTGCGTATATTAAATTTAATAAATTAAGAGAAATTATTTTTGGCGCCAAAATTATTCGTTAACTCTCAAATTTTTCTGAGTCAATAAGCCGCCAAAAAAGTGTCATTTTGTTTCGTTAGAGAAAGATGAATTGTCCATGTCATCCAATCGGGAACAAGGGGGATGGGGATTAGATGATAAAGAAGCAATTCATGCTCTCTATCTGAAGCAATCAGACTTACCAGCAACAATGTGAATCAGTCTTTCACTGAATGAGTAGGTGTTGGAAGAACTGTTCTCTAAAGCGATACAGTTGCGCTACATGTTCGTCAACTTGTCTAGAAATAAATATATCATTTGTTTTATACGTTTTTTCGTAATAAATCTATTTGTATTTGTTGTATTTGAGTATGAAGATAACAAAAACTACGGCATAAGACGCAGTACACTGGGCTTCGTTGCCATTTTATTTACCATGTTAAGAATAAACTTAACAGACATGCTTTGTTTTCGACGAAGCCATCTAAAATAACGTACATCTAAATAAAACTAAAAAACTGTAAAATTTCTTTATTTGATAGTATACTTCAAATTATGCACTATACCTTCTAGAATTCTATAACACTCTTTGCATATAATTTTTTTAAAAAAAGTTATATCTCGACAAAAATATGATTTATCAATAGAGTATGTAAAATAAAACTCATTCGCAGTATTAAAAAATCGTAAATCTTTCCAAAAAATTTTGAATTACAAATTTTAAAACTTAAAACAACATTTTTTGAAGCGAAAAAACGAAATCTAATTTTTTTTGGAAAATTTAGAATAAATAGAGCTCTTTAACTCGTCGAATACAAATTGTTTTCAAGTTTTTTTCAACCGGAAATTGAACTTTTAGAGTTTATACAATAAGATTCACATGAAAAAATACGGGTTTAACAAAGAAATCACCAATATAAAGGTTTTTTAGTAGAACGAGATTGATAAAAACTATGGTATGATAAAAAGACGATAATTTTTTTGGCGGGATAATTGAAGAATATGAATGATTCGAATTACAGACATACTCTAGTCCGAAACTTACTATGGTTCGTGACTTATTTTTGACACAGAATAGCTGTAGACTAAGGCTTACTCTAGATCCAGACTTATTATACAATTAAATTTGCTTTTGGAATAAGACTTAATTTTAGTTACAAACTTATCTTAATATCAGACTTATATTTAGAATCAGACTTACATTTCAAGTCAGACTTACTTTCGTCCGAAACTTACATTTCAAGTCAGACTTACTTTCGTCCGAGACTTACATTTCAAGTCAGACTTACTTTCGTCCGAGACTTACATTTCAAGTCCAAGGAAAAGAGACTATTGATGACTTACTTTCCATCGATGGTGCACAACAGCAAGGAGGGGATTGGTGGGTTTGGGGAAATTCGCTGAGGCACTAGTGTCCGGATTGTTCGTCAAATAGGTTTCCTTTCCTATAAAGAAATGACACTTTTTTGGCGGCTTATTGACTCAGAAAAATTTGAGAGTTAACGAATAATTTTGGCGCCAAAAATAATTTCTCTTAATTTATTAAATTTAATATACGCACATCCATAAGTTATGCTATTTTTTCTATTTATTTTGTTCTAAAATTCTAAATATTTTTTTTTCATAACATAAAATATGATGTCTAGTCTCATTTACATAACAACATGTCTTAGAATAGGTTTTTTATTCTTTTTGTCACTTTAAATTAAGAATAAAAAGATAATTTAAATTGAATATTTGCGATTATTCTCACTAATGCTGCTTCCTCTTTTATTAGGTAGACAACAAAAAGTTAGCCTTGGACTCCCATATCAGAGTTTTGATTGGTTGCGTATATAATGAGCTGGGATTGATAGACAAAAACCCAGTGAGAAAATTTTTGACGCCAAATTTATGCTGTGCTTCCAAATTTGCAACCCTAGATTGGTAAACAAATTTGAATTTTCGATTTTTTTTTTGATCATATGAATCTTGATACTATAAAGCAATATGATAACCTTTTTGAAGTATATGAGAAACTCTTTCACCTAAAATCGAATGATGCATTAGATGAATTATTTACAACTTTAATTAACAACTTTTTCACAAAATATAAAATTCAGCCAGTTCCATTTTTTTCGAGCCTTTTCACTGCAGTTAGTTAAAATTATGGATCGATTCTTCTTTACAAAAAACTTTATAACTTAATCAATGAAATTTATCCACTTCCATCATCATTTTTAAATTTCAATATACCAAAATCTATCGAAAAATGTTTGAAAATTATTACTAAGGAAAATGATGTATCATTCCCTAGAGAAGATGAAATTAGATATTTCATTATGTTTGATCAAATTGAAAAATTCAAAGAATATGCAATTAACAACAATATTAAAAATATCAAAATGAAATATTATTACATATTCCACATGAATTCTGTTCTTGAGAATTGTGCTTATTTTGGTTCTGTCAACATTTTCAATTTTCGAGAGAGGGTCAAAGTTGCTATTTGTCACTTTTCCACAAGAATATAATGGGGAAAAAGTTATCATATAGTTGATCTCATTCACTGAGGTGAGAGATGCATGTAGTGTAATGTTATAAATAGTGGGATTGCTGCTATAAGTCCTAGGTTCGAGACACATTGGCTTCATTTTTCTCTTTTTTATTGACGTAAACTATTCAATTTTTGTGTTCTCCATTCAAATTTCAGAATTTTTTTTGCAGATTTCACGCTACATTCGAAGTTACCTTTTGTAACAACCACCACTGCCTACGAAAGACGAAAGTGTGTCACGATTTCACCCGGAAATCCGACGGTTGTTTAAGAGTATGCACTTTTGTCACCTACTCTTCAATTTTCTTTTAACGAATTCAGATCGAAAAATCACACCAAAATGTCTCAGAAATGCAATTATTGGTGGAAATACGGATATAATTAATGAATGTATGAGAGAATTTCAAATTGATAATGAGTGCTTAAATTGTGCGATTGGTTCTCATAACAACAAATTTGTTGAATACATTCTTGATCATGATCTTGCTGAACTTAATAAAATTGATTTTGATACAATTTATTATTCTCAAAATGTGAAAGCATTGTTTCTCTTGTATGAAAAAGATCCAAATTCAATCATTCCATGGTGTACACCATTTCCACAAACTATTGATATCCTTAAATCAGGTAATATCAATTTATCAACAATTAAACAACAATTACAAACACTTTTTGACTATTGAGTTAAATATTCATGCAATGAAATAACTCAATTTTTATTAGAATCACCAGAAGCTGGTCAAATTAATGTTAATTATAGAGACAAATCCAAAAAATCTGCACTTGATTATGCAGCCGAACTAAACAACAAGAAAATGGCAGAGATTCTTCTGAATCATGGAGCAGAAATTAATCCACAAAAATCTGAGCAGCCTCCTCTTTATCACTCAATAATACATAGACATATAGATATGTTAGAATTCCTTCTTTCTTTTGGAGCAAATGCTAATGCATTTTATGATAGTGAACAACCTATTTTATGCTTTGCTATTGCTATACATTGCCAATCAATTGCAGAGATATTAATTTCACATGGAGCAGAACTAGCAGGGAGAAATGGAGAATTGGCACTTGAAACTGCAGTTAAATTCAAAAATATAGAGATGGTGCAATTTTTAATCTTTCATGGGGTTGAAATCAAAGGGTCTGGTGGTGGTTTCGCGCTGTATGAAGCAATTAAAAATGGTTATTTTGATATTGCTCAAATGCTTATATCAAATGGCGCAGATCCTAAAGAAGATTGGGGTTATGAACCAAATATTAATATTGCAACAAAATATAATCACAAAGAAATTGTAGAACTTCTAATTTCCTATGGTGTGAATCTAAATAGTATAAGTCATCCAGGCCAAACATCTCTTCATTATGCCATAAAGCATAATTATGAAGAAATAGCTGAAATTCTTATCAAAAATGGTGCTGATCTTAATATTAGAGATTCTTATGATCAAACAGCTCTCCATTTTGCATCCATTAGCAATATGCAGGAAATTATTAAATTACTCATTTCACATGGCGCAGATGTCAACCTCAAAGATTCCAAAGGCAAAACAGCTTTCGATTATTTACTCGGTAGTGAAATTAATAAAGAATGCATTGAAGCTTTTATATCACATGGTGCTAATCTCCACGCAAAGGACAGTTAAGCAAGAACATTTCTTCATTATGCAGTTAAATATAATGATTTAAAAGCTATATCACTTTTATTAAATAATGGTATCGATCCAAACGTTTGAGACCACAAAAAACAAATTTCCTTTTCTTTATGCATGTAAATGATATATCAAAAACAGCGAAGGAAAAACAATTCTTCGTTATGTATAGTTAAATACAATGATACAAAAACTGTTGCACTCTTATTTATTAATGGTATTGATGCTAATATTTGAGACAAAGAAGGAAGAAATTAAGAGATTTTCAGAAAGTGGTAACAATCTCAATTTTTGGAAATTTTGGGTAGATTGGGAAGCACTTTGCGCTCAATTGTAATTATTGTTCTTTACTTTTTTATATAGCTATTTGGTATCTGTTGTAAATGTATATATATTTGATGACTTAGTAATGATTTTTCTTTATAAAATGCCTTAAGGGTGCACTTACGCCCCTATGACACGGCCTTAATTTATTACAATACTTTTAATCGCAATCCCTTAATATATTAGAATGAAAATATACAGCATAAATTACTAAGAAACTACTTGAACTCAAAAATAAATTCTTTAGATATATATTGAGAACAAGTAATGTGCCCCAAAATTAGCTAAAAATTTTAGGGATTGCTAATGGCAGAAACGTGAGATTTGAATGGGGCTTTCATTTTTTATCTCATATTCAATTTCTCATATTGAAAAAAAAAAAAAAAAAAAAAAAAAAAGGTAGTGGGGCTTCCAGGCACTTCGTGCCTTCTAGCCCTGAAGATGTTTAGTATAAATGAAGTTTTTATTCGGAAAATTGTTAGTCTTCTTGGTCGAAAACATTATATAATGTTTCACTTTTCACAAATTATATATGTTTTCATGTTTTGTCAAGACTTCTTCGTAAATGTTTTGTCAAGACTTCTTCGTAAAATCAGACAAAAATAATGTTTAGGGTAGAAGGTTAGATATAACCTCTTTTCTAACCTCTTTTCTACCCTCTTGAATTTGTCAAGATTTCTTCGTAAATGTTTTGTCAAGACTTCTTCGTAAAGACTTTGTCAAGACTTCTTCGTAAAGACTTTGTTGAGATTTCTTCATGAAATTTACACCAAAAATAATGTTTAGGGTAGAAGGTTAGATATAACCTCTTTTCTAACCTCTTTTCTACCCTCTTGAATTTTCATGAAATTTACACCAAAAATATATTTTAGGGTAGAAGGTTAGATATAACCTCTTTTCTAACCTCTTTTCTACCCTCTTGAATTTTCATGAAATTTACACCAAAAATATATTTTAGGTGAAGAGGTGAGATATAACCTGTTTTTTCACCTAATTTTTCACCTCTTGAATTTTCATGAAATTTACACCAAAAATATACTACTAGGGTCATTTACGAAGAAATCTCAACAAAGTCTTTACGAAGAAATCTCAACAAAACATAGACAAGAAAGTTCATGAGAAATTAGATGAAGAAGTCTTAACAAAGTCTTTACGAAGAAATTCATGAAAATTCAAGAGGGTAGAAAAGAGGTTAGAAAAGAGGTTATATCTAACCTTCTACCCTAAAATATATTTTTGGGTCATTTACACTCATTTACGAAGAAATCTCAACAAAGTCTTTACGAAGAAGTCACAATAAAACATCTGTCAAAAACCGCTTTTTAAACTTCACTTAAAATGCCACGTAAGCTACGTAAGAATATACGTAAGAGGAAGAGAGCATTGAAACATCCAATAGTAAAACTGACACCACAACAACAGTTGCAACAACAAATGCTGAATGACCCCACTATGTTGCAACAAATGTCAAGCAATCCTATGCTTTTAAACCGAGTCATTGGTGCACAGAGTGGAGGTTTAAGAGCGGCACTTTTAGCGAAAATGGCAGGCTATGGTGGAGCTGCAGACGGAACAGCTTATAACCCTCAAAGTCAAATGAATTTGAGTTCACTCAAAAATCAAATAACAGATGTCAAAAAGTCAAACATAGACATACAGAAACAAATAAGCGAAAACGAAAAGAAACTAGAATATGACAGACAGACAAAGAAACTCAATGAGTTAAACGTAGAGAAAAAGAAGAAAGAAGAACAACTGAAAGAACTAAGTACAGAGGAATATGCGAAAAAAGTGTCAGAAAAAGCAGCAGAAGTAGCAAAAATGGAACAAGATGTCATAAATTTGAAAAACCATACTACTCAATATAAAATACTGAAAGATGAAGAGATAAAACAAAAAGCCCTGAAGACATATATGGATAGCGATGAGTATAAAAAAGAAGTTGAAGCAAATGTAAAGGCAGAAAAACTTTTACAGTTGCAAAACCAAACCGTACAGTATGAAAACTTAGCACAAGAAAGTAAAAATAACGACGCAGCCATGCAAAAGGCAATGAAAAGTGCAGAATATATAAAAGCTAACAATGACTGGTTAGATGCCCAAGCCAACGCTAAAGCAGCCCAACTCATAGGGTCAATAAGGACAAAAATACAAGCGGATGAAGATAGTTCAAATGAAGCTTTAACAAATGCTGACTTTAAGAACGCTTTCGAAGCTCTTCATAGTAAGGTGAAACAAGTGAACGACTTCTCATCTGGAAAGAAACTGAAGTCTGAAGGTTTCGACAAAGAGTTAAAAGAAGTAGCACAAAATATGACGAAAATAACAGATGCAGCAACGAGACAGGCAGTTCAAAGTGCCTATGACGCCGTTAGAGCAACTGTTGTGAAAAGTCAAGAAAAAGAGTTACAACAGACCAAAAAGACCTAGTAAATGCTTTCTTAAAAACGAAAAGTCAGGTAGGACATTACGCTGCAGATGGAACATATGTGCCAGCTGGTGGAACTTATATACCACCAAACCCTCCAAGAGAAGCACCTGCACCAGGACTACCTAGAACATTTACATCGTCACATGGACACAGACACAGGCATGCACAACAACCAGCACAACAACCACCTCCACAACCAGCACAACAACCACCACAACAACCAACAAAAACACTGACAACCAGCACAACAACAACCACAAACAGAGCAAGGACATAAAAGAAGTAGAGAACAAGGAAACCAAGAATTCTTAAAAATGCTTAAGAAGACTATGGTTACCCAGATAGTATTGACTTTAGTGACAGATATAAAGAAGCTATTAGAAAGTTCAAGGATGGAAATACTGACCCGAACCTATTTAGCTTTATGGCTCTGCACCAAAGGGATATAATTTCAAACCTGGAAAATACAAGCTCGCTAAGGATATGATTTAATAGCATATCATCCAAATGACATGAACGAATTTACTCCGAGATATTTGATGTCAGAGCTAAATGACAATTTAACTCTCTTCATGAAACGCGTAAAAATAGAGACGGAACGAAAGAAGAAAGGTTTATGAGTCCGGATGACTTAGAAAGGGAACTTGTTGAAAACGGTCTCGGAATATATGAAATGCCAGCAGATGAGGTACAAGAAACTCCACAGGAAGAACTAGTTCAGATACAACCAGACATGGAAGAAATAGTTCAGCAACAAAAGCTAGAAGAGCCTGAAGGAAACGAACAAGTCCTTCCTTTGGAAACTAACTTCACAGAACTAGATGAAGATTTGGAACAGCCGAAAAATCTTGACCCTCAACAAGAGTATGCGGAGAATATGGAATATTTCCAAGAGTCTAAAAAAAATTCGGCTGACATAGTAGAAGAATATCGAAAAATGTTTGCCGACATACAAAAGACTCCAACATCAGATGAAAATATCCAGCATAGAATGGAAGAACTGAAAAAAAATGTACACAAAACAACAACCCTTTTTACTTACGAGCATTTAACGTTCAATCTTCGGATGAACTCGGTGAAGATAAAAGGTTAAATTTCAAGAAAAACATATAGAAATGAAACATTGTTTAAAGTTCATTCAGAACCTAACCAAGATGGAAACAAACCTACTTTTGTTTCTGCAGACGATGGAACTACAATGAGATGGGGTCATAAAGCTAACCCGGATAGGTGGTTCATAAACTTACAACCTCAATTCCAAGAAGTTGTAGACGCAATGGAAGTCAATGGTGAACCAGATATAGCTGGTATTTTCAGCGCGGCTTTAATGCCATTGAAAGATATGAAAGATGCAGATATTTTGGACCAGTATGAAATGAACATGGCTGATGGAAATATAACACCTGACGTTCTAGAACATTTATCTCAAAGAACTACACAGAACCATAGAGATGGTATATTTGGTGAAGAGTTTAGAAAGAAAGTTAGGGAGATAGAAGGAAGAGAACCTATTGTACATGACCTTGCAAACGAAAGTTTACAAAATGTCATAAAAACTTACTTTGCAGACAATGAACCGAGAAGGGATGAATATTTAAGAAAACTCAAATGGACAGTACCAAATGAAATGTTAGTATTGAAAAACATGTTCCTTGACAAAATAAAACCAACTACAGAAATAAACGACGCAAGACTGAAAGATTGGGTAGAAGCCTTCCCATTCACAAAAGATATAGTTGGTAACATGGAAAGAAAACCAGAATGGCTACAAAAACATATATTTGGAAACGAGCATATTCCATATGGACAGGCACTGTTTGAAGAGCTTGAACCGGAAACTCAGGAAAGAGTCATGCAAACAATACGCGAAGACTCAAATACAGACTATGACAAACTCTTTCTAGGATATAGGTTACCTGAGATGGGCGACCAGAGCCAAAAGGCAAAAAGGACATGGGAAATTTGCAACATACTAGATGAACATAATGCAAAGATGCAACAACTTCAAGCAGAGGGCAATGAAGGAAAAAGAAGAGTTAAAAACTCAGTCAGGAAGAAAGTAAAGCTTGGTCGGAGTGGGTTCTATTATGACATATAAATCCAACTATTCTATATTTTTACTCATATGAAATGTACGCCGCTCAGAATATAACGCCAACAGTTTTGGATGCTATGAATGGAAATGTTTCCGAATGGTATAACGAATGCGACAATGCCATTAGAAGGTCAGAAATAGTTCCTGGAACTTACGAATATACAACTGCTGTTTCTTATGGAAACGTAGGTGAGTTTGGAGAAGGTTCTTCAACAACAGTAGATATTGCTTGCGACAGGTTTCATATTATTTCTATTGACAACTCATTCTTATACGTGGAACAAGACATTGAAATAAAACCTTCTGCCAAGTTGTCTGACAAGAAAGGTTGCAATGGAATTTTCTATGTCGGATACCAATATGCTCCAGAAGTTTTCATGGGATATAAGATATATTCTAACTCTGACTTAGTTCAAACAGTAACATGGGCAAACTATGAATGGTTCGCTTTGAGAAACTCAGTACAACCACAAGCTAGAGAACAAACAGACCAGTATGCAACCATTGAGAAAATAAGAAGACTTGACCCTAACGTTCCAGGAGTTTATGTTAACCTTTCTGGACAAACTGCAGCAGCAGTAACCAAAGTAAAACTGAAACTTAGAGTTCCTTTGTCATCTTTCCTCATCTTCAGGTTTTTAAGATACTTGCCAAACTGGGCAGGAAAAATTTCTATCGAACTTACTCCAAGCAAAAATAACTTAGTCATTGCACCAACACAAGACCCATTCACTCTTACAGAAGTAGTGGGAACAAATAAAATGTCATTCGCCGACTTTTGCAAAAACAAAGTTGACTTAGACTTTGGTTTCTCAAACCTCAACACTGAAGTAAACTATTATTTCAATGCTGCTGGAGATGCTTGGGACCCAGTTAAGTTCACATGCGAAAAGTTTGAATGCAAGAGAATAGAAAGCAGACTTGCAGTCTATATGTTGGACCCAGATATTTCAAATGCTTTAGCTGCCAAATATATTGCAGTTCCACTTATGTTCCCTATACACCAAATATCTGTCAAAGACTTTGCAGGTGAAGTTGGAAACCAAAGTGCTGACCCAGGTGCAAGAACAGATATTGCTTAACAACTGCAATGAAACATGCAGATACTATGTTTGTACTGTTCAGACGAACTATAAATGACTATTCTTGCTTCTACAACCCTGGTATTAAATACCATATAAACATAGATGGCAAATATTATCCAAGAGAAGAATATTCTACAGTTGAGGATATGAGGTCATACAACTTGACATTAGATGCTATGAACTTTAACAACAACTTCACAACAACCATTAACCCTGAAATGCAAAGTTCTATTATGCCATATGTGAAAGTATGGACTCATACAGGAGGTCAAAAAACTCAATATACAAATGGAGACCGTTCAAACTTTTGGCTTGGCATTCCATTTGCTGACTCAGAAGACTTTATGGGTGGTATTTCAACTGTTGGTACAGTTCAAATACAATATACTGGTGACAGAGACGGTCCAGATGAATTGAAAGCAAAGAAGTTTACAAAACCAATAGCACTTTTCACGGAAGATGCTCTTTTGAAGATTCGTTCGATGAAACCTGCTGGGGCTCCTCAGATTGGCATAACGACAGCTTCCATCGAGCAGATTTTGGCAGCAGGTCAGTAAGTTGTTCTTGAACTGACTTCTCTCCGTCAAATATTGACAGTACGCCAGTTTTGACATAAAATTGTATTATAAACTTTCCTTTAGAAATATCGGTCAGTTTTGTTGTTATATTTTTGTCTGCTTCAAGAACTTTCACCATCTCGGTTATACCAACTTTCTTTGCTTTATGAAAATATTTTGGTTCAGCAAAGACTGCTATTCTATAACATTTTCCATTGTTTGTATAAAGAACTATTCTGTCAATGAACTTGTATTGTTTGTGTGTGTAAACTTTGTTTTGCTTCAATTCGAAGAGATACTCAAATACGTCCATCTTTTTATTCTAAGTAAAATGTCATTTCCGAAAAATAGAAGCGTAAGTGTTTCAAAAGGTTTAATGGCGGTGGCAGATGTGAAGTTAAATTCACCAACTCAAACAAACAGTCAAAGTGTTGTTGTCAATGTCAAAGAAAGAGATGTTGAAGTGGGGAAACCATACGAAGACGAAGATGGTATAACAATAGTTCCTGTAAAAGAACAACCAACATATCCTGAAGTTAGCAGAGACTTAAGTTCTGTTGCAGATATTCGAAACGACTACCAACAACTTAAAGACAAACTTAAAACTCAGGAGAAGATTTGTCAAGCTTTGGGTATAATGTTAAACTTGGTTGAGCACAACCCTGTAAAAGTGAACTCATATGTCATCGCACCTCATGAAGTTTTGAAAGAACTATTGAAACTTTTGACAGAGGCAGACGATATAAACATCAAAGAAATAGAACCTGACATTGCTTGCTGTGGTGTTTCATATAATGTCATTGACAAGATATACGTTATGAAAGGAGGTGAAACGTTGAACTTAAAATATAGTTTCCCAGACGTCATAAAAATATTTGACGACCACAACATTTCATTAAAATTTACTTGCTAAGTAAATGGCAGAAGACATAGTGGTTTATACTATTACGACTAAAAACCCTGAGTCATATAATTCTATAACAACAAACTTACAAAGTCCTCAAGGACGATATTGTAAACTGACCTTAAACACGATGACGACTAAAGCCTGTTTTGCTCTTTTGACACCAGAAGACTTTGTTGTTGTGAATGGTAAAAAATACTTCTTTGAAGATACTTACTCAGATATACCACCAA